TGGGGTTTTTTTAATATACAATTATTATTTTATACTATTTATACTATTATATATTATTTTATAAGGTCTTATTTTATATTATTTTATAAGGTCTACTTACAAAGTTTGTATACAATATTTTTCACACCAGATCTTTCCCATTTCCTTAACTCACCCCTCCCTCCACCCACCAAATTTTTTGACCCTATGATTTTTTTACCCCAACTTCACCTGTCTTCTCCTCCTCTCCCCCCCTTAGATCCTCATACATGTTTGGTATATACATACATATTTGTGGTGGTGTTTTTATGTGCCATCACATTGGAATCGACCCTTAGCTGACCCTTCAGTGGATTTTCAGAGGCAGTAAATCACATGGGATGAGATTACCCATCCTACAGAGCAGCTGGTAGATTTGAACCGTGTTATTTTGGGATTGTAGCACAGCTTCTTAACACTTGTTATTGCTGTTAGATGTTGTTGAATAGATTAGTGACCAAGAGTAACAGATCTGAACCCTGTCCTTTTCTGTGCCATCCTCACATTTCCTGACACACTAGAGCCCATTGTGGCAATCACTGTGGCAATCCACTTGGTTGAGGATCTTTCTCTCCTTTGACAACCCTATGTCTTTCTAAGTATGATGTCTCTCACCAAAGAATAGCCTTTCCTAGCAACATGCTCAAAATATGTGAGACCAAACTTTATCAATGAGCACTTTGGCCACACTTTCTCCAAGACATGCTTGTTTGTTCTTTGGGTTTGTTTGTTTGTTCATTGGATGTTCAGTACTTCTCCAACACCACAGCTCAAAGGCATCGATTTTTTTTCTGTCATCCTTATTCATTGTCTGGCTCTCAAATGCATATCAAGTGAACAGAAAGACCATGCCCTAGATCAGATGCACCTCAGTCCTCAAACTGACATCATTGCTCCTCAGTAAATTTGGAGAAGTCCCTAACTACAGATTTTCACAGTGAAATACGTCTCCTGATTTCCTGACTACTGTGAGCAAAGGTATTAATTGTGGATCCAAGTAAGATGAAGTTGTTGACAGTTTCAATCTTTTCTCCATCCATCATTATGTTGCCTATTGGTCCAATGATAAAAGTTTTTGTTTTCTTGACATTAAGATGCAACCTATATTGAAATCTATATTCTTTGGTCTTCTGCAACAAGTGATTTAAGTTCTCCTCACTTTTAGCAAGCAAGGTTGTGTCATCTGCATAATGCAGGTTATTGTATTATGCAAATGACACAATCACAAGACCATATAAATTGGAGGAAATTGGAAATTTGAGGCTGGAGCTTGAAGGAGGTACCAATAAAGTTTTGTATCATTTAGAAAGACACATAAGCAGAGGGAATCTCTGGATCTTTTCCATCATCAGCTCATGATCTTTCTCTGAATTCTACAGAGTCAGAAATACAATTTTCATCTAGGTTAGAGGAATTCCATTTACACAAATTAAACTCATGAAAGGGAATTAACAGCCATAGTTATTAATTATAAATGAGAGCTATATCTGAAAAGATCATAGTACTATTCTCAATAGAAAAGAGCTTTGGTTGTTAAAAATCTAAATTATGGATCAGAAGGAGATGAGAAATCAAGAAAAGGGAATTGAAGTTCTGAGAATTTCTCCAAATTAAAGCAACTTGTATTTCTTTGGATAGTTTTGTCCATAAAAACTTGATATAACTGACACCCAAGCAGATATATGCACACCCATGTTTATCACGGCTTTGTTTACAATAGGAAAGAGTTGGAAACAACCCAAGTGCCCATCAACAAACAAATGAATAGAGAAGCTCTGGTATATTCACACAATGGAATGTTATGCAGCATTAAAAAACAAGGAACTCATGAATATTATACAAAATGGGTGACCCTGGAGGACATTATGCTGAGTGAAATATCTCAGTCACAAAATGAAAAGTATTGCATAATGCCACTGTTATAAAAGACGATTGACATAGAGGTTGCTGGGAGACTGAAAAAGAGGGGATAAATACTGTATACTGCATTGAAACAGATGAGGGAGAGAACTACCTAAAAGGGATATATGATTAGGTATTATTGTCATGACAGGAGTCCAGAATGAAGGCAGCATAGCGAAGCGGACTTGGGAGGAGGGATTATTTAACAATGCAAGAATTTTTCTTTTACTTTTCAAAAAGAAGAGAATTGGAGATGAGTGGTGGGTATGGGGAAAAGTGCAACAATGAATGAATGGAAATCCAAAATCTCTGTAAATTTTCATTAGAATTAATTTTTAAAAAAAACAATATAATGAAATCATCTAGGATTTAGATTCAAAATATTCCTTCCAAAGACTTGGTTCTACATCCACTAGACCTGTTACTTACACTCAAGTCCAAATTGACTCATAACTGACCATCAGTGTGTTTTCAGAGGCTGTAAATCACAACGAGGGGAGATTGTCCATCTCTCTTCCATGGAGCAGCATCTGCCTTTGGGTTAGCATGCAACAACCATGTAGCCTTGAATAATCCAATCAATTATCAGATCCTCAGTTTCCTTATTTGTGAAAGAGAGTTTGCTTTAATCATCCCTGCACCTTCATTACAAAGTCACTAAGACGTCAAATGGGGAAAATGGATGAGTGCTGTGAGGTGCTGGAAAAAGTTGATATTATTTCTACTAATTATATATCACCTTCACTACAATCAGGTAACGACTGTCTCTTCTCAGAGATTACAGACTCAGGATCACCATCAATCTAATCCCGAAAATATGGAGATTAATACAGTCCTCACGAGTCCTCTTCTCTAACCTCATTGCCAACCACCCCACGGCACTTCTCTCTCTGACTCTAGCCACCCAAAGCTAAGTCAGAGCTCACAAGTAAAACAGACACCATCCTCAGACTGCCAAATGGACAGATGCTGGACATTAGGAAGTCCATACGAAACCCTTACTTTCTGACTTATTGCTTCCAACTATCAAGTTAGGTTTAACAGCTGCCTGGAATGATTAACAGAGCAAATATTTTAAGATTATGGATTTATCTAAGGCAAAAAGAATATAAATGAAGAAACAAATAGGATGAAATCTAGGAATCTTCCTAATTCAGATTTTCCATGCCCTCCTGAGAGCAGTTCTTGTCAACTAGGAAGCTCCTTGAGCCTTAGGATTCTGAGCTTTATTGATGAGTCTTACATAACAGACAAAATCATGCCTCCAATGTCCAATTTGTATCAACCTCTCAGATGAGTCTGCTCCTACTTGGCATAAATCCCCTGATGTGGCCTCTAACTATCAGACAAGAATATTCCCTTTACTCCTGCTTTCAAGCTTGTTTTTATCGGGAAGCATCACCAAACACTGTCCACCATGAGTAATCATTATCGCATTTGACACATTAATGTCACCGTGTTCAGCTTCACAGCAACCACAAGTTACCTCTGTACAGCAAGTGGACAGACCAGTGCTATATGACCCAGATGCTTCACTTTCTCATGGATAACTCACCCTAGAGGAAGTCAGCCTGTGCAGCTCCTCTAGTCAATTTTGAGAGGACTACAGCCCAGCCAGTTCAACTACTTGACTGCAATCTCATTAGAGACTGAGCCAGAAACATCCAACTACTCTGCATCTGGATTCTCGGCCCTTAAAAGTAATGAGAGCATACACAAATGTGTCAAATGCGATAGTGAGTCATCTACAGCTCCATGGCACTTAACAACCACAACATGTTTTGGGGACATTTGCTAAACAGCAACAGATAACTATTATAAAAATGTAAGGGGGAAAAAAAAGGGGGGGGAAATGTAAGGGGAAACTACTGTGTTGCTCCTTGCAAAATCAGGAAAATACCTAATAACGCAGTTTTAGATGAACAAAGGGAAAGTGAAATTAGGAAGCTGATTTAGATTTCATCTAAAGATGAGGTCTAAGGAAAAGAGATGCATTTTAGGATAAGCTTTAATTGAATGACCACAATTATAAAAGAGTCAGGATATGGAGTTGTTTTCCAACTCAATTGCTCATAATTATTTATTCTTTAATTTGCCTTTGGTTCAGATATTATGACCATCACTGGAAGGGATTTTCCCCACCAATACATCCTTGAAGTGTTTAACTTATCTTTTTTTCCATTTAAAATTACTTCTCGTTCTCTCCCATAAGATAATGTATGAAAAATCTTGATCAAAGATCAAGGGAAATTATTTTTTTGTTTGTTACCAGATTCCCACTGGACCTTTTCTAAAACAGTAAGCAAATGGTTTTGAAAGCCAAATGTAAGAAATAAGCCAGGGGATGAGGGGGAAAGAAAGAATTTATAAATGGGTTATTTCATTTATTGGTTTTGTTGTGGTTTGGGGGGTTTTTTAGTTCTGTTTTAAAAAGATATTTTAGCAAGCAAGTATACCTCTCTGGTATATTAGTCCACTTCCACTAGGGCTATTGTAAGAGTCTGAGCACAACTGAACACTGAACCTTGCTTATGATTTCATGTACCTGTTCCATGCTTCTCCCTGTTGATCCTGTGACTGTTAGGCGCAATATGATTGATAATGATGGCATTCAGTTACAACTCTTCTTCTTTTCTCATGTAATCCCTCAGAAGAATCTTGTCTATATTACAAATGTAATAAGATAGCTAGCATCATTAAATTCTAAGAACTTAGAACAAAACAAGCTGACTAAAAAGGAACTCCTCTTTCATTCCCATATCTTGATGTTAAACATGTAAATTATTTCCTGTTCATTATATCGCCTGACAAAACCAAGATTTTGCCTACTGACAGTAGATTTTTCAGTCCTGTGACACATAAAATAATTCCATTTCTACCATTCTTGACATAGAAATATGCTATCTATGAGTTCTGCATGCTCCTGTTGCTTTAGCATAGATAAGAAAGAGCGATTCTTCTTTTTCAAAACTCAGTCTTAAAGTCTGATAGTTTACAGTAAAGGGCCAACATAAAAAATAAATCAATGTAAATTAATCCAAAATTTTGTTTTGTACATGTTCTCAGGTGACAACTAAGCCATGGAGACCTGGTTGAACCGATCATCCACAGACGACTTTGTCCTCTTGGGCATCTTTTCCCACAGCCCAACTGACCTTATTCTTTTCTCTGCAGTCATGGTGGTCTTCATAATGGCCTTCTGTGGGAATGTCCTGCTGATTATCCTCATCTACATAGATCTTCGGCTCCACACACCTATGTACTTCTTCCTCAGTCAGCTCTCCATCATGGATCTCATGCTAGTCTGTACTAACGTACCAAAGATGGCAGTCAACTTCCTGTCTGGAAGGAAATCCATCTCCTTTGCAGGATGTGGCATACAAATTGGACTCTTTGTTACCCTTGTGGGTTCTGAGGGACTCTTGCTGGGACTCATGGCTTATGACCGCTATGTGGCCATTAGCCACCCCCTCCATTATTCCACTCTGATGAGTCAGAGAGTCTGCCTTCTGATTGTGGGAGGCTCCTGGGTCTTTGGAACAGTAGATGGTTTGGTTCAAATAGCAATAGTAATGACCTTCCCCTACTGTGGCTTGAGAGAGGTGAACCACTTCTTCTGTGAGATGCTATCTGTATTGAAGCTGGCTTGTGCAGACACAACCCTTTTTGAGAACCTAGTATTTGCTTGCTGTGTCATTATGCTCTTCCTTCCCTTTTCCATCATTGTGGCCTCCTATGTGCGTATTCTGGGGGCTGTACTCCGTATGTGCTCTACTCAGTCTCGTAAAAAGGCCCTGGCCACCTGTTTTTCCCACCTGACAGCTGTATCCTTCTTCTATGGGGCTGCCATGTTCATTTATCTGAGGCCTAAGCGCTACCGAGCCCCTAACCATGACAAAGTAGTCTCTGTCTTCTACACAGTCTTTACTCCTATGCTTAACCCTCTTATTTACAGTTTGAGGAATCGAGACGTGATAGGGGCACTGAGGAAGGTGCTGGGCCGTTGTAAGATCAGCATCTAGCACTGAAAGTCCTGGCACTCAGTGCCTGACTGACATTTCTGGCTCTGTGACACTGAGTAAATAACAAGCATTCTCTGCTTACTCATTTATGCATATCCTGGCATATTCTTTACCTTACAAGGAAACAGAGAGAGTAATCATGCACTTACAGAAAGGTGGGATTTTAAAAAACTTTAAAGAGTGCTCTCCAGCTCCAGTGAAAAACTTCCTCCACTCCAACTTTTTGTAGACTGGTTGTTTTGTAAAATATGATCCAAAGGAATGTAAAACTTTGTAAACAGAATCATTATGTAGAGAAGCAAGGTATTGGGATTTTTAATTTTACTAGAGGAGGATTGAAAACGTATGGAGATAGGATGCATCCCTGGCATACGCCCTTCCCAATTTTGAACCATGCAGTGTTCCCTTGCTCTGTTCTAACGACGGCCTCCTGGTCCAAGTATAGGTTTCGCATTACCATGATCAAGTGTTCTGGGATTCCCATTCTTCTCAGAATCAGCCATAGTTTGTTATGATCCACACAGTCAAATGCCTTTGCATAGTCAATGAAACACAGATAGACATTCCTCTGGTATTCCCTGCTTTCAGCTAAGATCCATCTAACATCACCTACAATATCCCTAGTACCACGACCCCTTCTAAACCCAGACTGGACTTCTGGTAGTTCTCTGTTGATGTGCTGTTCCAGTCGTTTTTGGATAATCTTCAGTAAAATCTTGCTTGTATGTGAAATCAGTGAGATTGTTCTGTAGTTTCCACATTCTGTTGGGTCACCTTTCTTTGGGATAGGAACAAATATCGATCTCTTCCAGTCAGTTGGCCAAGTGGTTGTTCTCCAGATTTCTTGGCACAATTTGGTGAGCACATCCAGGGCAGCATCTGTTAGCTGAAATATGTCAATTGATATACCATCTATTCCTGGAGCCTTATTTTTTGCCATTTCCTTCAAAGCAGCCTGAACTTCTGGGCTCTAGGAGGAGAAATGTGGGGTCAAGATTGGTGGATGATTTATCAACAATCTGCGTTACGCAGATGACGCAACCCTGCTTGCTGAAACTGAAGAGGACCTGAAGCACCTGCTGCAGAGGGTCAAGAACTGCAGCCTCCAGTATGGATTGAGGCTCAATGTCAAAAAGACAAAGATTCTCACCACTGGACCAACTGGCAGCATTAGGATGGATGGTGAAGAGATTGAGATTGCACACAACTTTAGTTTGCTTGGCTCCACAGTCAACACTCTTGGCACCAGTAGCGAGGAAATTAAAAGGCACATTGCCATGGGAGAGTCTGCTGTTAGGGACCTCTCCAAAGTACTAAAGAGCAATGGTGTCTCTCTAGAGACTAAGGTGTGTCTGATACAGGCCATGGTCTTTGCAATCACTTGTTATGCATCAGAGAGTTGGAAAATGACCAAGGAGGATAGAAGGAGAATTGATGCCTTTGAGCTGTGGTGCTGGAGAAGAGAATTGAGAATACCATGGACTGCTAGGAAAACAAACAGATTTGTCCTGGAAAGGGTTAAACCGGGTGGCTCCTTGGAGGCAAGAATTCTGAGGCTCCGTCTAACATACTTTGGACATGTTGTGGGGAGATACCGGTCCTTGGAGAAGGACATCATGCTTGGGAGGGTGGAGGGACAGCGCAGGAGGGGAAGGCCCTCTATGAGGTGGATTGATTCAGTGACTGGGATAATCGGGATGGGAGTGTCAGAGACGGTGCGACTGGCACAAGACAGAGCAGAGTTTAGGGCTGTTGTACATAGGGTCGCCATGAGTCACAAGCGACTCGACAACACGTAACAACAACAGAGGAGGATATCTTGAGAGTAACTATCTAGCTCTGCCTTCTAATTTATCATTTACTTATAAGTTACCTGGACCTCATACAGGTATTTTAGATGAAAAATATCCTGATGGCAGAAAATTGCCCTGTGTAATATCATAAAAAGTTTTACCTTACAACCTGTGTAACTGGAATTTTCCAAAAAATGTAAAGGTGAAGTCTTTGAGATTTATAGGGAAGTATAAATATCTGATAATTGTGCCTGGTATATATTAAAGTTGCATATAGATGATAGTTGTATAAAAATTTAAATTTTTATTGCCTTATTTTCTGTAATAGGAAAATTAACTAGTTTTCCCTTTGAATGGATCAAGAGTGGAATTGAATGATAGAATGTGAACTGCTAAAAAAAAAAAAAAAAAAAAAAAGTGTTGAAAAAATTAGAACAGATCTTCAGTGCAGTGATAGGTCGAATGTGACAAAAAAAAAAAAAAAAAAAGAATGTGAACTGCTATTTGAAAACATGTTTATACCTACCCGTCTAAGCTTCTTACCAGTTTTGTACATATCTACAATAAAGCAATATTTTTCTGAATAAAAAGAAAATATTCTTTCTTGAAGGTAGAGGGAAAGGTGAAGACAGAATCAGGGTCCATAAGTTAGGCTGAATGGTAGAAGGTTGAATGCTCAACTTTCAGGCTTTGGAGAAAGCAGAGGTCGATGACACTAATAGTAAAAACAATTCTTAGGACCTACCATAGGGAGAGTATGTTATTGGGGAGGGTGCAGTCAGAGTGCTCTTTGGAAGCAAGAATGATAAAGCTTCACCTCACATACTTTGGGCATGTTGATAGGGGTAATTCCTTGGAGAAGGACATGATGCTGGGAAGGGAGGTTCAGCAAAGGAGAGGAATTCCTGCGATCAGGTGGATTAACACTATGACTGCTGTAATTGGCTCTTGTGTGACAGAAAGTGGGAGGATGGTGCAGGATAGAACTCAGGTCTTTCGTTCATAGGGTTCCTATGAGTCTTATTTTACCCAACGGCACGTAACAACAGCAACAACTACAGGGAGATGACATTACATTGGTATTCCGTTTAATTCTCACAACAAACATTTCATAGTACACATGACATAGTACATACACCATTTTTCCTTTTTATTCTTTTTATTAATTTTTTTATTATTATTATTAAATTTTATTAGTTTTAATGAACATTTACAGGGATTTGGGGATTTCATAGCTTCATTGCTGCACCGTTCTCTCTACCCTCCGCCCCAGTTTGTTCTTCTTCCCCCACCCTCCAAATGTCTGTTTTAATTGTCCAATTGCCACAGTGCTTGTCAAAGTCAGTTCTGATTAATCTCCTTTGCCAGTGTGTCCTTTGCCATTCCCTATCACTCCTCCCTGAGAGAGACTTCACCCTGATTCATAAGGAAAAAGGGGATGGCAGCTCACCATCCTCGCCAACGTGCTGGGCTGCCGCCCTTCCTGCTTGTCGTTCACCACCACGTGGCCTCCAACAATCCCAAGAAGCAAGAATGAGAGTGGCTCTTTCCCCCGCCCCAGGGTTCCACGTCATAGTCTGAGGCAAGATAGAGGGTGTGAGGGGCCTTCACACTTCACTTCATCACTTCTGCCCATCACAGCATACAAAGCAGCTACACTTGGGCTTTTCCAAACAACTTTTATTTTCTCAAAGTCTTCCTTAACCCTACAGAGCAAGAAGATGCCACTGAATAGGGCCCAATATAGGGGCTGATTTCTCTTCCACTCCTCCAATATAAAAATATAGATACATAATTTTTTAAAAAATGTCAAAAGAGAAGCAATTAACCACCTTTTTTCCTCTATTAATTTGCCAAATAACAATTTTTAAAGTTAAACATAGATCTTTAATTAAAATCTAGAACACACATCTCAAATATTTTATTCAATTTATTCATAATTGAGAATATGAAAAAAATTTGAACAGTACACTAGCAATATCCTGCTGAAGATTATCCAGAAATTACTGGAACATTACATTGACAGAAAACTACCAGAAATACAAGCTGTGTTTAGAAGAGTTTGTGACATTAAAAACATCTTTGCCAATGTCAGATAGGTCTTAAAAGAAAGCAGAGTACCAGAGCAATGTCCATCTATGTTTCATTGACTATGCAAAGGCATTTGACCGTGTGGATTACAACAAATTGTGGCTAACCTTGAGGAAAATAGGAATATTAGAACACCTAATTGTGCTCATGTGAAACCTATACTTGGACCAGGAAGCAGTCTTCTGAAAAGAGCAGGGAAATATTGCATAATTCAAAATCAGGAAAGGAGTGTGTCAGGGATGTATCCTGTCTCCAAACCTTTTCAATCTCTATACAGAACAGATCATTCAGGAAAGAGTGCTTTTTGAGGAGGAATATGGCATCAGCATTGAAGGAAGACTCATCAACAACCTGCATTATACAGATGACACAACCTAGCTTGCTGAAACTGAAGACCTGAAGCATCTGCTGCAGAAAGGACTGTAGTCTTCAATATGGATTGAAGCTCAACATCAAGAAGACAAAGATTCTCACCAGTGGACCAATTCGCAGCAACATAATAGATGGAGAAGAAATTGAGGTTGTTAACAGTTACAGCTTGCTCGGCTCCACAATGAACACTCTTAACAGCAGCAGCCAGGAAATCAAAAGGTTAATTGCACTGGGAAAAATCTGCTGTCAAGGACCTCTCCAGAGTGCTGAAAAGCCACAATGTCAGTTTAGAGACTAAAGTGCATCTAATCCAAGCCACGGTTTTTGCAATTACTTGCTATGCATTATGTGTTGTACAATGACTAAGGATGACAGAAGAATTGATGCCTTCAAATTGTGATGCTGGAGAAGAGTCTGGAACATCCTATAGACTGCCAAGAAAACAAATAGCTCTGTCTTAGAGAGGGTGAAACCAAATTTCTCCTTGGAGGCTAAGATTTTGAAGCTCCACCTCACATACTTTCGGCATGTAGTCAGGAGGGACCAATCCTTGGAGAAGGACATCATGTTCAGAAGGATGGAGGGATAGCTCATGAGAGAAATACACTAGCTGAGATGGAGCAATAGAGGTTGATGTGTCAGAATTAGTGAGACTGGTTTAGGACAGGGCAGGATTCAGAGTTGCTGTATATAGGGTCGCTGTGGGTCACAGGCAACTCAACGGCACATAACAACAACATAGCT